ACGCTTCTATGAACCTCTCTACCTTCTGGAACATCTCATTGGTGTAATGGCTTCCTCCGTTCTTCTCTGTTATGTTTCTGATCTTGTCGAGCAGCTCTCTGACTTGAGAACGATCCTCCACCTTATTATTGAAGACGTGGTACTGCCCATTACATTTCCCCACAAGTTCCTGCAGATCTCCACTTTCCTTCCAGAACTCTTCGATAGGTGTTCCTTTGAGCAGATCACCGTAGGTAAAGAGAACCATGCTGTATCTGTCTGCTTCCTCTCCAAAGATTTCCTGAATCTTCTGCACCGACTGTATTTCTTCATCTTTGAATCTGCCCAGTCTGATGACGACCAGGAAGACATGGGGTCCAGGAGAAGCATAAGCAATGCTCTGGTTAATCCTGCCTCTGGTCTCCTCTGCATCAAACCTGGAGTCAGACAGACCCGGAGTGTCAATGACAGCAACTCTCTGTCCATCCACTTCACCAAAGGCCTTAGCACAGGTAACAGTCAGAGAATCAGGAGAGCACTTTGATTCAAAGTGCTCTTTTCCCAGAATGGTGTTTCCTGAGGCGCTCTTCCCAACACCGGTCTTCCCCACCATCACAATCCGGAGGACATCGTTATTGTATGTGTTAGATTCTGATGGGGGAAAAAAACAACATATATTTTAAGTCCTTTTAGTACTCATATCTTAAGTTAATAATAACAATGGGCAAGTGGGAAGAAGCTGTTCTGTTTTCTCCTTAGCTAGTTATACAGGTGACTGCATGTTGGTCCGTTAAAAATATTTAAGACTGTAAGTTGCATAATTTAGTTTCCACCTCAGGGTTTCTTAGATATTGGCTAGCTCTTAATATTATTATTTGTTCTTGAATGTAGAATATGTAATTTGTCCCTGGGGTCTCTCAATCTAAACATTAACAAAAGAAGGAGTTTAGTGGCGTTATAAATAAAATCAATGGAGGCTTTAAGCCGATGCTTCCACCAATGTATGATAAACTTGTTCCTCTGATACTATCCAGTTCGTACCATATCAAAGGATCTGTTTTTCCTCGTGGAAGCAGGATGGTGGGGCTACCCAGCTAGCGGGGAACGTTCTCACAACTTTGGCTAACGTTACCTATTGGTTCTAACAAGGTTTTAAAGAAACGTTTTAATCTGATGTTCAAAGAACCTTTTTAGGCTGTTTATTTGTTCAAATAATGTTCCTATGTAGTGTCCACTTGGCTAGCCCCCTTAAATGTAGAATATGTAATTTGTCCGAGGGGTCTCTCAATCTAAACGTTAACAAAAGAAGGAGTTTAGTGGCGTTATAAATAAAATCAGTAAAATACTGAATAAAAACAGTCAATGGACAGGCTTTAAGTCGATGCTTCCACAAACGTATGATACACTTGTTCCTCTGATATTATCCAGTTCGAACGTTATCAAAGGATCTGTTTTTCCTCGTGGAAGCAGGATGGTGGGGCCATGAGCAAAGGCTAAGCTCTGCATGTTTTCAGGCGTCTGATGACTAAAGGTTTGAAGTTAAAAAGGCACATCCTTCATATCATTAATATTTAATTCTAAAAAACAGTAAATGAAAAAGCGACTGCAATCCCAGGAGGAACCCTCCGGAGCATTTTTGCATTGATTCGAGAAAAAAGTGTTT